TACGTGATTTTGGACCCGTATCCGGGTCCGCAGAGTTTAACTGGTATAATTACACTGTAACAAGGACACCTTAATATAAAGTATAACCAATTTAATTAATTTAGAATGTAAATAAATATATAAATAAAAAAAATAGACTATTACATTTACATTTCTAAGTGTAAATTACAATTTAAATAAATCTGAACTATTGGCCAACAAGTCCTTACTGTTGAGCCCTGCCATGGTACTGAATGATTACCATATTCTTATTATTGTATATGTGGTAAAAAAAAAACACGCACACAATGGAATGTCTAAAAGGAATAGTGAAGTATTGCATGTGTTTGTTTTTAGGATCTGGATTATGAGAAAATATACCACAAGATGTTGAAACCAGCATTTATCTTTGATGGTCGACGAGTCCTGGACCATCTGCACTCTCAGCTACAAAACTTTGGCTTTCAGGTGAGTGGATATTTGTGCAGTTAACATGTTAGTAGCTGTGCCTACCTGCCTGACTTCATCACTCTATTAGTTGGCATGGTTTAATGTTGTGTGTTTTGCATAGATCGAGACCATTGGAAAGAAGGTGACGACCCGAATTCCCTTCACACCATCTGGAGGAGTTCCACGAATCAATGAACCACCCATCAAGAAATCCAAAGCCTAGACACCGACTCATACACACACGCATGTGCACTTTACATTGATTAAAGTCTTTTGCTGAGAAAACCAAAGTAATGTGTGACCGTTGCTGGAAATCTGTTTGTAAAAATGCATGTGCTTTGTGTGCGTGTGTTTGTCTTCAGAATGTTTTTTTAAGACCGAGTTTTATCTTTCATGGCCGTTCACAAAAATGCAGTGATTTAATGTTTTAAACACTTTGTCATTTGTGTCTTTTTTTTCAAAATCATTGTTCTTGAAATTTTTTAGAATGTTCTCATGTCTGTGCCATTTCGGAACATTTTTGAAACGTATATTAACTGTACACAAAACTGATGTTAATACATTAACATCCCAGTACTGTTTAGTAGTATATTATTGTTTACAGTTATCAGTGTTATTGTAGTGTAGATTTTAATAACAAAATCATCTACTTATGTGAGAGTGATGTCTGAAGGAGCAGCAACAGAAGGAATGGCAACTTTTAAATACTAGGACCAAGTGGGACATAAAAAACCGCTGTTGCCTGAAATTTGGCATGTGATGCCAAATAGCTGTTTGTGTCACTCTGTTATTAATCATTTATGAATCCTCTGATATGTATTGTTCAACCTGCACTGTGTATGTTATTGTAGCATCACAGTTGTAGCTTTTATAAAATCATCTCTTACT